GCAGCAGCGCGGGCGGCGCGGTAGCTGTGGACGCGCGGGCTTGGCCCTAGCCTTGCAGGCTGCAGAACAGTTTGGAAAAGCCCCTTTCTGGATAATAGTCCAGGCCCTCATGTTCTCATCATATAAATGACGGGCCGCAGAGCTAGGTGAGATCGGACTGGAGGCCCTGCTTGGGAAACGGATGCCGAGCTCGCTTTCCGCAGCGCAGGTGACCTCGGGCCCCAGGCGCCTCCCTGCGCCCCACGCCCTTCTGGACCCCTTCATCCTACCTCCCCTAAGGGCCCACCCTCCCAGGAGGCCCGAGGGCCGCGCTCCCGTTCTCCACTGGAACGGAAGGGGGCCTGGGGCATTCTGGCGCAGACCTAAGGAAACGACACTCCTGGTGGCTGGTTTTATGCCTTAAATAGTATTTTGTGTATTTCTTTTTTTAAAAATGAGGGTGGCAGGCGATACAGTAGAAAAGAAAGACGATCCCACCTTTTTCTAGGTCGGTTCTTGTTCCCCTTGAGCAGAGCACACCTCCTTTTGCGCGAACACGTGTTGCCCTGTTGAAGGGCCCTAAGTCTTTTTTTTTAATTATTATTTTTTTTATTGATTTCAAAGAGGAAGGGAGAGGGAGAGAGATAGAAACATCAATGACGAGAAATAATCATTGATTGGCTGCCTCCTACACCCTCCCTACTGGGGATGGAGCTCGCAACCCCAGCATGTTTCCTTGACCGGAATCGAACCCGGATCCTTCAGTCCGCGGGCGATGCTCTGTCCACTGAGCCAAACCAGCCAGGGCTAAAGGTTTTATTTTTTTTCTAAAGGTTTTTGTTTTTTTTTAAAAAATAACCATATAAAAATACATTTATAAATTTAATATATTTTATTTTCTTAAGCATTTAAGTTACTTGACAAAATCCAATTACTGAGCTCACTCTCCCCCTCCCCCCCAAATATTGGTCAGTTGCCACATTAAAAAAATATATACATATATATGTATATATATTTTATTGATTTCAGAGAGGGAGCCCACAACCCAGGATCAAACCCTGATCTGGTTCATAGGTCTAAGTTCAACCACTGGGCCCGAGCTCACTCTTAAAGCCAAATATATTAAACTTAAAAATATGGATGATAAATATTAAAATCTCAATATTGCTTGCAAACATTAAATTCTGTTACATATATCCACTTAAAATCATGGGTCTAAATCAGTTATTCCACTTCACATTTTAAAATGGAATTGCAAAATTAATCTATACTAATAATATTAAATTCTCTTAAACGTTATAAATACCAAATTAAATACTGTAGATGGTTTCAAAATGTAATGGAGAATATTAATGCTATGACTTTGTTTTACTTCATTATTTCTGTAGTTAATCCTAAATATTCCTGGAGTTATAGGTGCTTATCTGCTAAGGTAGGGGCTTTCAAAGAAGTCAGAATCCATTAATGGATTGCAGGGTTTAGACATTCTTGACCAGCATTAAAAAGAAAGGATGAAAGAGAATAGGAAATAGTAATATGTCACAGAGAGTAAGGGAAGGGGTATTGATTTGTAGAACTTGTCTCAGCTAAACATACATCTGTATACAAATATGTATACCCTCGTAAACATACATAGCATATGTGTACATATAGAAATACATATGCACACACACAAATATGTATAATTTCTGTGGATTAGACTGAGTAACTAAGCTGAAAGCTAACACATTTTGGATAAATAAATCTGCCTCTGAGTCAAAGCATGAGGACCAAGAGCACCGATGTGCAAGGGGAGGAGAAGATGAAATCTCAACTCAAGCAGAGATAGAACTAATTTCTATTTCCTTCACCTTTTTTTTTTCTGGCACTCAAAGGATCAGATGATACCCATCCACATTTGGGAGGGCCAATTCACCAGTTCAAATGCCTATTGCATGCCAGGTGTTTCTAGGTGCATGGATACAGTAGTAAGCAAACCAAGTCAGTACCATCATGGAGTTTACATTCTATGGGGAGATGAAAAATGAAGTAAATGTGTTGATAAATGTTAAGGAATGTTGCATTGCTTCATAGAGGCCCTCAGTGATGAGGTGACATTTGGACAGAGATCTTAATCAAGAGAGTAATGCAGAGATCTCGGAGAAAAATAAAAACATAACCCTTGACTTCTGACTTTAGAGACTTTATAATCCTGGAAGAATGAACAGAACAAATTGCTGAAATGAGGTCGTATGGGAGGCAGAGCAGAAGATAATTTGGTGGTGGTGGTGAGGGCCAGTGCTCCCGAGGAAGACTTTATGGCCAGAAGGGGTTTTAGGTAATAATAGAAGAATGTGTAGGTTATTAAGAGGTGAAAGAAAGAGAGTGGAAGCAAAAGCCAGAAACAAGAGAAGAACCTGCTAGAGGTGTAAGCGTCATCCTGGTCAGTAGTTGGAGAAGGACGGAAGGATCTAGTATGTAGAATCTAAAACAAGCCTTACATGAAGGCAGGATGAATTGCTTGATCTGATGAGGCTCTTACTCTTCACTAAACAGTGTTTGGTTGGAGATTAATTTGGAGGTGATGTTCCAGCTGAGAAAATGTCCTTCACGGGCAGCAGGTCTGAGGGGGAGCTGTGGGTTTCCAGGCATGTTCCAGACTCGAGCTTTAAAGCCATGAGGCACCCGGGGCCTTTTCTTTCTCTGTGTAGATAGGACTGTGTACCCATGGGGAAGGGTCAGACACTGTAGCATCCATAACGCTTTTGTTTAGCCTAGTCTGTGGCTCACTGTGTCATTTTGATCTAAATTAACCCAGAGTTAATTTACTTTGAGCCATGGGCAATGCTAACGGGGACCTATGGAAATGGAATGTGCTATAGTCAAGTGCCACATAAGGACTGACCTATATATGACAGTGGTATACCATATAGCCTAGGTGTGTAGTAGGTTATACCAACTAGGCTTGTGTTAAGTACACTCTATAACGTTCTCACAACGACAAAATTGCCTACCAATGCATTTCTCAGAACTATCCTTGTGGTTAAACCGAGGATGACTGTTTAAATTCCAGTGACTAGTTTCAGGCCTGTTCTCACAATGACAAAATTGCCTACCAATGCATTTCTCAGAACTATCCTTGTGGTTAAACCGAGGATGACTGTTTAAATTCCAGTGACTAGTTTCAGGCCTGGTGGCTCAGTTGGTTAGAGCGTTGTCCTGATAGGCCACGGTTTTGGGTTCAATCCCTGGTCAGGGCACATACAGGAGTCAACCAATGAAAAAGTGGAACAACAAATCAATGTTTTCTCTAAAAAAAAAAAATAAAAAAAATTCCTTTAAGAAAGGAAATTGCATGAAATAACCACAAGATGGCGACAGTTTACACATTTTGTGAATGAGACCGTTAAAAGGCTTCTAGCAATTAATTTGTTTGCCCTTTTTTCTAATGTGAAAAGAAACCTTGCAAAAGTCTTTGATAATGAGTTACCCATATATGCAACATTTTTTTAAAATATATTTTTTATTGATTTCAGGGAGGGAGAGAGAGATAGAAACATCAATGATGAGAGAGAATCATTGATTGGCTGCCTCCTGGCCTGACTGAATGGAACCATGACCTCCTGGTTCAGCAGCTGAGCCACACTGTCTGGGCCACAACATTATTTCCATGGACACAGAAGAATGAAAGGCATCGAAGGAAAACCATCTAGCCCAGTGTTCCTTTTCTTTTTGGCTATAGCTTCTGAAGCTCAGAGTTGATTAGAATTTTAGGGTACAAAGGAGGGAGGAGGAATGGGAGATATCTGTAATACTATCAACAATAAAAAATAAGAAAATACATAAAAAAAGAATTACAGGGTAAAAGTTTTGTTCAGTTGATGCTGTTTGTGTTCATAGCCTGAGTCTGAGGATATTTGATCTTATCCACACCTGTGATAATATTTGTTATTTATTGGTCACTTAGCATAATGCTTGGCACTTAGTTTTACATGTATCAACTGGTTGAATCTCCAACAGAATTTGGAGGTTGGGTTTATATGGCCCTTATTCCGGATATGATTTGGTGATGGAGATATCTGTATGTGTATTTACCTCATGTGCCCCAACCATGAGATTGGGCCTCTCTTTACATTTTTCAAACTAATACCACACTGAAGAATAAATTATCTGGTATAGTACTGCAGACAGCTGTCTTCAATAGAAATCCTCAGCACTCAAAAACAAGCCCAGTTTACAAAGTTGGTACTCATGTACCTGGTGATTTTGCCCTTAAAGATTGTATTTCATTTTTTCCCTAGGAACCAAAAGGGATAAAGTGCTTACTTGCCTTAGTCTTAGGTTTTAAAGGTATCACTTGGAAACAACACATGGGATTTTAAAATATCCATTTGATAATCTTTGTCTTTTATCTGGAGGTTTTATTACATGAGCATTTATTTGATTTTTATTGATTTTTAGAGAGAGAGGAGGGAGAGAGAGAGAGAAACATCGGTTGCCTCCTGCACGGCCTCCACTGGCAATCAAGCCTGCAACCCAGGCATGTGCCGTGATTGGGAATTGAACCAGTGACCTCTTGGTTCCTGGGTAGCTGCTCAACTGCTGAGCCACACCAGCTGGACGGCATTTATTTTGATTCCTGATATACTAGTATTTTAAATCCTCTTATATGCTTTCTAGTTGGTGTAATTTTTGTTGTTCCTTTGCCTCCCCCCCACCCTTTCTTGGAGGTACAATTAACCTAAGATCACTTTAAAATTTTCCATTTGAGTTTTTTGGAACACACAGTTGGTATGGGAATTTAGATTCTTTGTGTGAGGACTGCCTTGTTAATATAAATTCTCAAGGGAGACCTTTCTCCTCTACTTGTACCAAGATCAAGAGAAATAAGTGTTCCTTTATGCATGCAGGTTTATTTCTTACTGCTCCTTACAGAGCCCGAGGGACTTTGGGGCCGCAGCTTAGGGTGGGGTGCTACAGAGCATATTGGAAATGACTTTACTGAACCGAGGATGCCCAGTGTAGTGGCTGCTGTTGGTACCCTGCTCAGGTCCTCTCCCTGGCTGGCACATCACTCCCCAGTTTCTGTGAGTGTGCAAGTCATGGGAAAATGAGGTGCCCAACTTGATCTTCACCAAAAAGTGTGTTCCTACTTATGTGATTCTGTGTGCAATGGAGCTCTTTATGGACATTGAGCATGTAGGTTATTAGAAAAAAAAGGTCTGTCTGTAAAAAATAGCTTCTGACAGATAAAATTCAGTGTCTGTTTCATTTTTCCCCAGTAAGGAACACACAGACAAACTAGGGTAATGTCACTAAGACACTAGTTATAATTCTCTGGGTAAATTGTTAAGTGGACCTTCTAATTCAAATCACTCTTAGGTGACCGAAAGAGAGAAGGAAGGGGTGGAAGAGAGGGAGAAAGGAAAGAGGGAAGAAAGGAAGGATGGGAGGAAGGGAGATGGTCTTCCTGCTGGATGGTCTCTGGGCAGGCTGCATAGTGAAGTTTTAAGATGGAATGAACTGGAAACTCAAACCCGAGAATTGAGAGATGATAATCTAGACTGTTCTCTAATAACATGTCCTACCTGTAAAGCCACACCACTTCAACACCCTACCTCTCTCACCTATGCCTTCTTCCTCTGCCCATCTCCCTCGCTCACTGGAAGTGTCCTGTTGCTTGAGAGTCCCAGGAGCCACCATGAACTCATCCTCTGATGGATGTCTTTCAAAAAACCTTTAGAGTTTTCTTGGTAGAGCTCTTGTAACTATTTGAATTAGGAAACCTCCTGTTAAAATATGTTCAAAAATTCTCTGTTAACCACCCCCTTCAAGAGATGCAGCCTAATCTTTCCTTTGAGTGTGGGCTAGACTTGCTGATTTAGTTCTAATGAGTAGAAAGTGGTAGAATTGATGGTGTAATTTCTGAAACTAGGTTATAGAGGTATTGTGGCTCCCCTCTTGCTCTCTCAGATTACTTGCTCTGGGGGAAACCAGCTGCTATGTTGTGAGGATACCCCATCAGCCCTATGGAGAGGTCCATGGGGGGGTCCATGTGGGGAGTAATCCAAGTTTCCTGTTAATTGCAGCAAGGAACCAAAGCCTCTTGCCAACAGCCATGCGTGTGCGCCATCTTGTGGACATATCTTCCAGCCCCAGTCAAGTCTTCCAATGGCTACAGACCTGCCCGAGATTTGACTGCAATATCCAGAACCATAGCTGCCCGGGTAAGCCACTCCCAAATTATTTTTATTTTATTTTTCAGTTACAGTTGACATTCAGCATTATTTTATATTAGTTTCAGGTGTACAGTATAGTGGTTAGACAATTCTATAATTTATGAAGTGATTCTCCCAATCATTCAAGTACCTAGCTGAAACCCTACATTGTTATTACAATATTATTATCATTCCCAAATTCTTGATCCACAGGAAACTGTAAGAGATAATAAATGTTTATTGTTTTAAGCTCTTAAATTTTGGGGGACAGTTTGTTGTACAGCAATATAAAGCAAGTATTCCCTCACATAAAATTATGCATCACCAGAACAGGATAATTTGTTTGTGTTTATGGTGGGTGCTTAGGTATATTGATAGCCATTAGAAGCCTGACAGTAGTCACTGCCAGGAGTGATGACTGAGGCCTCTCTTGTTCCCTTCCCCAGGGGCTGGCATTATCCCCAGGCAGGATGACTTGAAGGCCAGGTATCAGCGTGGTGGCCAATGTTGGGTCTTGCAGTCCTGATGGTTGGATTAGATTCTGTTGATTCTTATGTTGAGGTCTCAGGTAGGTTAGTTTGAAACGGGGGTGTATTCTCCAGAAGAAGGAGTATGATGCACAAACATTTTTGGATTGGGGGGTTGGATCTCGGTTCCAGGAAGATGGGGCATCAGCCATATCTTATTTAGTCTTGCCTGGAGATGAACTTGGGAGAAATAATTTATAGTTTATCTCACTCCATCCCAGGTTGTGTGTGAAGTTTTGGAGCTGGGCTGGGAAAGGGAAGGAAGTTGGAAATTATTTGAATTGTATAGCTTATGAAATCTCCATCAGGACTTTGCCTGACTTCCAGGGTGTGGGGATTCTCCTGAGAATCTCTGGGGACTTGATTGGGTGGTGGTTGAGGGATAGGACTACTTTTAGGATGTGCAGAAACATGGAGTGAGAATGTCCCTTGATCCTGAAGCCGCATGCTCACCTGGGTCTGGGGGCACCAGGTAGAAGAAAGGAGGGAACTGCCAGTAAGATACCTGGCTACTGAAGAGTCTTGGATTGTGACTGTGCTGAGCCTTTGCCCTTGTTGGCAACACCTTCTCAATGGCCTGGCCTCCTGGCCTATGCTGCCTGGAGACATTTTGCATAGAACCCGTGACACTAGTCAAGGGTGGGGATCATCCAGCCTTCGGGCCATGTAAGGCCCGCATAATCATTTAGTCTGGCCCTGCCAAGGCATCAGAGGTGAGTTAATTAAATGTCTGACCAAATACAGCAGGCTAATTTTAAAGTTGATGGTTTTGTATGGCCCTCGAATGATGTTATAAATATCCAAATGGCCCTGGGCAGAAAAAAGGTTCCCCACCCCTGCGTGAACACGATGGTCAAGGCAAGGCTCTGCATTGCACCCTTTGCAAAACTCCTCAGAGATCATCTTCAGCTTCTCCTATACAATAAACAGGCTATCACATTCCTTTTATAATTTGTGCATGAGGAAGATTTTCTGCCGTGAGCAATCTTAAGTTTCCTTCAATTAGATAAGAAGGACTATGTTACTTCCTCGTTGCCTTGCTGCTAGGAGGTTCCAGTGCATTTCTGGTGCTTCATGGCATCGGCTCCCCCTCAGACTAGGTTCTGAGTCACCATCTTCCCACTCACCATGGCTGGACTTGGGTCCATTTAGTTTTATTATTTTCATCTTCTTGTACCTTTTATTCTAACCATCTCACCTCCTTTGTATAGAGGTGATGGTCAGGATATGGCCCCTGTGCACCCTCCTCCCAGTGGGTGGAGCTGGTAGAAACCTGTGTCCCAACATGAGTGCCATGAGTAAAGTCTATGATGGTGGTCGCAGCCCTGCCCCCTTCTCTCAAAGCCTGGAGCCAAGGGAAGGCACCATGAGTGTGCATGGTCCAGAGCTACCTGCACCAAGATACTGGGAAGGACAATTATGGGGAGACAGGAAGCCATGGCCTGAGACTAAGTAATCAAAATCCCCACATTCAATAAGAGGAGAGAGAACGTGTGTGAGAGAGGAGAGAAAACACCGATTTGGGCATGTGAGCTGGTAGGGCTCAAGGTTCAGCCCCAGGAAGGGGCTCCTCTGAGTCCCCGCTGTCAGTGGGGAGGTCTCTGAGCACTCTTTCTAGAGGCTGACCTCCCAGGATGAGTCTGAGGCCCGGCGTGGCCAGGATCTGGTCTGATGCCAGGAGGCCGAGATATAGGGAGGTGACTGGAGGCAGGCAGCATGGTCCCACTGGCAGAACTGGAGGTCCCAGGGCCCTGCGCCTTCTTGCCCAGGGTCTGGCTTTGGCTGGCCGAGTGAGGTATGGTCCCTGGAAAAAGAACCAAGACAAGAATGAGGATATGAGAGATTTTGATACATTTTTTTTTTTTTTTGGTATGGAATGGAGCCCTCTGGAGCTGTGCTGCTCGGTATGTAGATTTCAGTCCTATTTGGTGATTTGAGAAAGGTCAGCTCACCCTCAGGCCTCTGGGGACACCTTGGCCTAGCCTTTGCATGAACAGATCTGCTGGAGGAATACATCTGCTGGCTGGAGGACTAGAATTTGAATGCTGGCCCTAGGCTAGACTCTCTGGACCTGGTTTTCTTGAGTATAAAATTGGGACAACAGCTCACAGGTGGCTGCCAGGGTCAAATATGATGATGGAATGGGCTGTGTGAACGGGAATTAAATCCAGTTTCCAGCTCTTTCACATACTTGTTTCCTTCCCTTCCCCTAACTCCAAGTTAGGGGCAGTTACTGGCTTGTTCTTTACCAGACCCCGTTTCTGGGACACAGAAATGGACTAAGTTTCCATTATGGATGGGCATGGCCTTGACTGAAGTCTAGGCTTTGATGTGGGCCACTTCCAGGTGCGTGTTCTAGGCTCTTCCCCTTGCACTGGCTGGAGGCAGGCGGAGTCACAGGATGGAAGGAGCCAGGGTCCCCACATCATCACTTGGGAAGAAAGTGGCCATCAAATCTAAATACCCAATTTGGACATTATTTTGAGTGAGAAGTAAACTTTTATTGTGTTTGAGCCATTTGCTGTTTGGGGCCTGTTTGTTACAACAGCTAAGATTCTGGTGAATACTTCAAGAAGAGAAGCTAAGTGAGGGCAGCAATGAGACTATTGGAATTTTCCAGACTAAAGGTTGACCATCTTTCCTAAGCTCCCATGGGTATATTCAGATAATTCTTTTTTTTTTGTCAATATTATAAAAGAGCTTTACACATATGTAATACCCTTTGTAATACTTTTAGCAAAAAAAAAAATTAAAAGAGCTTTAGATCTGTAATAAGAATTAAAATTTGAAGAAGGGCAAGCTTTACAACAGCAGCCAGTAGAGAAAGGAGGGGAAAGAAGTGGGTCAGGAGGACAGGCACGTTGGGATTCTGGGGACATGTGACAACTGATAAACCAGTGTAGGTGTCTTGGCTTCTCATGGAAAACATTTTGCACACCTATTTTTCCTTCCATACATAAGTCTATCAGTGTCCAAAAACATCCATTCCATTTTTTGTTTTGTTGGTGATATTACAACATAGTATTGCATTTGCTCCATTTTCTGACCTGTGTGGAAAAGTTAGGGGATTTCAGATATTTTCCTCAGCCTCACAATAATAAGGTGCCAGTCAGTCACTCTCCTGCATGCCACGAACCAGTCCGTGAGGCCCTCGATGGGCTGCTGGTTGATCTTATGGACGAGGTCTGTATCTCCACACATTTTGGGAGAATCACCAGGGATAGGTTCTATTTTGACACATCCACTTGTCCTCTTTTTGCAACATCCACTTGTTTACTTGTGACTTTTTACTATTCAGTAGTAACTTGTCCATTCCAATGTCAACACTCAGTACTAGAATACTTGTTACTACTCATTTTAAAAAAAGTATATATTTTTAATTGCTCTTAGAGAGAAATGGAGAGGGAGAAAGAGAACCCACAACCTGGTATGTGCCCTGACCAGGAATCAAACCAGTGACCCTTCAGTGCATGGGATGACGCTCAACTGAGCCTCACCAGCCAGGGCATTCTTATTCTAATATCAACAAAATGTTTGCTAGGGATGTACATGGGTGCCCTATTTCTCCTGACTAGTGGATCTGGAGAATTGAAAATAAACTGATGAAGGATTTTCATCTTGCAGGGCAATACTGTTATATGCTTAAATTCTTGTTTCTTTTTCTGATAGTCTTGCCTACATGTTCTAAAAGTATCAAATAATTTCTGCACTAAAAATTATAAATCATAAACTATCAAGTCATCTCTTGTGCATCTTGTTCAATTCTCACTCCAAAGGCCAAAATCACAGCATACTGGCACTGTTTAATTTTAAAACAGGGACAATCCTTGGAAAATGAGATCACCTCAGAGATGGTCTCTTTCAACTTGACCTTTTCTTACTCCCAAGGTGGAGATGGCTTTTGATTAGTCTCCTCAGAAGCCCTGTGACACTTTGGAACATATGTGGCTGTTTCTTATCCTTTTATTCTAGATATTCTAGTGTTTTCTTTTTAAAGATAATACAAACATGTAGCAGCTGCTAGGTGCAAATCTCCCTATTCGTCCTCCAAAGAAATCATTCAAAACAACATAGAAAACAAATACCTCCCCCATCCCCGAGCAACTGTGACCCATGTCAGCTGACACTTTGAGCATCTTAAAGGGGTGTGGTGGGACCAATAGTTCTCATTGTTGGGTTAAGTAGCCAGACATTAGAAGGGAACTAACAGGCTCAGGAGAGAAAGTGAAGAAGACAAAATCATTTCAGAAACAACTAAATTACGAGGAACAGAAAGAAGAAAAGTCACCACAGAAGACTTGGAGGGTAGAAATGAGGCAGCCCTGCAAGACAAGCAGTGCTACTTCCCCATGTTACAGAGGCAGCTTGTTTCATTGGTCCTTTCTCTGTGCCAGGAATTCTGTAAAGCACTTTAACACATGATCCATCTCATTTTCACCGCTGCATGAGGTCGGCACTATAATTCATTCTTTTTTTAAAAAAAATATATATTTCTTTATTGATTTCAGAGAGGAAGGGAGAAGGAGAGAGAGATAGAAACATCAATGATGAGAGAGAATCATTGATTGGCTGCCTCCTGCACACCCCCTACTGGGGATCGAGCCCACAACCCAGGCATGTGCCCTTGGCCAGAATCAAACCTGGGACCCATCGGTCCACAGGCTGATGCTCTATCCACTGAGCCAAGCCGGCTAGGGCTATAATTCATTCTTTTTAAAAATACATATATTTTTGTTGATTTCAGAGAGGAAGGGAGAGGGAGAGAGAGATAAAAACATCAATGATGAGAGAGAATCACCGATTGGCTGCCTCCTGCACCCCCCCCCCCCTGGGGATTGAACCCGCAACCCGGGCATGTGCCCTTGACCAGAATCGAACCTGGGACCCTTCAGTCCGCAAGCCAATGCTCTATCCACTGAGCCAAACCGGCCAGGGCTATCATTCATTCTTATTTTCACTGACCCAACTTCATACAGCTAATAATCACCCGAATTCTGATTTCAATCCCAGATCTGATTTCGCCACATATGCTCTTTACACCTTTCCATGTGGCCTTGTAAAAAGTAATCATGACATGGAATTTACCTGCTTTGGTGGCATTTTTGGAGCTGCCTTTAGCTGTGTCCTCGGAATCTCTGGCTGTGGCTCTGCCTTTGACAGATTTGTGGCTCTTCTCAACTTCACGGAGCTGCAGGAAAACATTAATGGTTGGTCTTGGCCCCGGAAATGGGTGTTTGAGCTTAGGATGGTGAGATCTAGATGGCAAAGACTCCATCTTCAGTTCTTGGGAACTACCTTAAATCGCCCGTTATTAGTCCTCGAGACTGACTGCAGGGGGCAGCAGAGCTCAGGTTTGCACAGCGTTTGAAGGCGCACCTGGCCCTGCAGGCTGGAAGCCCTCCAATCTTAGATCAATGGTTTTCTTTATCTGGGCAAGAGACCAGTAGGATTAAGGAAATGGGGATGGGGATGGGGAACTGGCTGTGAAGCAGATGAGATTCGTTCCGGTAGAGGCATCGAGGAAGTAAGGAGGACAGGGCCTAGAGAGGGTTTACATATGTAGGAGGTGAGGGTGGGGGAGCTGGGAGACTGGAAGAGAGCAGTCTGAAGCCAGCTAATGTTGAGAGGGGCTGCCTGCGCTTGGAGGGAACTTCCAAGACCTCCTAGGCCACAGGCCACAAGCAATATGTGGTTTTGACAACACTGTTTTCTTTAGTATTTATAGTATTAGTTTTAATCTATAGGAATTATCGTGAGTACTGGTTTTATGATGTGTGAACATTGGTTGAATTCATTGAACTTCTCCTGTTCTTCAGCAACCTCTTAAAATGTAAGTAAGTAAGTATTGTTATGGACACCCACATATCCCGAGGATGTAAATGCATGCTGTTGAATCTCACAGGCTGCTACCTGTCATACACATATTTTTGGCTTTGGTTCAGAAGAAAGCCATTTAGAGCACACAACTGGGTTCACAGAGCAAATTAGCAAAACACAAAACCATGGCATCAATTTTACCTTCCAGAATGAAACTCTCGACAGAGTAATGAAACTCGAGACAGACTCACCGCTTGGATTTTCTTCCTCAGCTGGGCGTTAGCGCGGGAAAGGGTTTTGGAAACTGAGTTCAGGTAGTAGATGGCCAGGCTGTAAGAGAAAAGCATGCCTCCTGTGGTACGGCGACCTTGGAAAGTGACAAGAGCTGGATGCCTTTCCCAGAAATCAGGGCAGGCTTCTTGCAATTGGTGCCAAGGCTTTGCCCCTGGGCAGGGTGGAGAGAGGCCCTACCATCCTAAATCCTCCACTTAACATGGAAAAAAGGTCCTGGACATCCCTGCTCTCTCTATCTGATGGAACGTGGAAATGACCTACACAATCCTACCTCTCAGAGTGTTCAGTAAAAGGCGGCTAAAGGAATCATCCCTCTTATGGAAATCTGAAGGGCTTGGGGAGTAGCGGGGTTTCCTGTCTGCGAAAGAAGCTGCTTGTGTTTCCTGGGCACTGCCCGGTGCCAGGCTCTGTGCCATGTGCGTCCCGCCCCCACTGGTTTTGATGAAACTCCATGAAGTAGAAATGATGGTTCCCATCTTTACAAATCAGTATCCTGGGATTCAGAAAGGTTAAGTAATTTGCCCAAGGCCAGGTCATCTATTAGTGCTCCTCAGAGCCAACATTTGAAGCCAAAGCTCTTTTCACAATCGTCAAGTATGGAGAGAGGCAGAGCTGCTAAGTACCTGCTCCAAGTTTGCCTGGAAACACAACTGCAGATGCCCTGGAGGTCCCCCGCTCAGTTGCACAGATGGAATTTCTTTCCTGAGTTGCTGGTTTTCAGCATCAGGCTCCCACTGGCTGATTTCAGGACTGGGTGTCCTTTGAGGTTATAACCTGGGCTTCCCTTTCACAGGATCTGCTGGGGGCTATGACCTGGACTGTACCTCCTGAGAACAGAGAGGCCACTTGGGCTGGGTGCTCAGCCAGCCTGTTACCTGAGAGCTTTTTAGGTTCATCCTAATTGTCACTTTTCTCCATGAACTTCAAGCCTTAGCTACTCCCCAGCCTTCCCCTGTGGGCCGCCACTGCCACTTTAGTAGAGTCTACAAGCTCTCTCCATACAGAGAAGGGAGGACGGGTAAAGGGACCACTCTCTGTTTTGGCACTTTCTGTGCACCAGGCCTTGCCCTTTCTCTGAATTAACAACCCATTTATTAGGGAGGAGCTGGAGGTCAGAGAGGATAAAGTGTTTATGGGTGACTGTGTTCCCCCTGAAGTTGCCTGCAAAGGTCAGGTTTGGTGTCTGGGTTCCAGAATCTTCTCAGGGGGTCCAGGTTGTTATAGCATGTCAGCCCTCTTTCATGCCAGAACTAGAGCAGATGTTTGGAATTGAGACGTAAGGAAATACACCTATTTTGGAGAGCAGTTTAACACTATCTAAAGAGAACGAAGAAACACATACCTATGACCCAACAGTTCCATTCCAAGAGGTCTACCTTAGAGAAACTCACATGGAGACATATATGTACCAGGAGCACATTTGCAAGAGCAAAAATGTAGAAACAACCTAACTATCTCTATGCAGAGAAATGAATAAACTGGTTCATTCATTCATACAATAGGACACATAGTGATATTAAAATCTATGCTCATGAATCCACATGGGTAAATCTAATGTTGAGTGAAGAAAGCTATGTAGTATGACCATTCATGAAAAAATTTTAAACTCAGAAAACAATAGTACATACACACATGATGAAAGTACCAAAATAAGTATGAGAATGATTAAAGCTAATCAAAATAGCAGTTACCTTTGGAGAGGGAGGAAGAGAAAAGGATTGGGTAGAGCTTGAAGTGTATCTGTAACATTTTGCTTCTCTTAAAGAGACAGAGCTGAAGCAAATATTGCTAGATGTGAACATCTAAATTTGTGATCACGTACATGGTTGTACTTTTCTGTATGTTAGGAATACTTCATAATTTTAAAAAACACCTGCCAACAATAGATATTTATAATGAAAAAACTAATATTTTCACTAGTATGTTTTTGATGAGGTAATTCAAATTCAGGGCTCTAGCTTCCTGTCTTCTTTTTTCCTTCCTTCTCCTGGTCCTTCCATGAGCTTTCATTGTTTTCCTACTATGCCCTAGGTGTGGGGCTGGTGTTGGAGATACAGACATCCTCAGACCCACCCACCATCCTCAGGGGTTTCTCAGTCTTTGAGAGGGATAGTGATGAATGACTGAGCCAGATGTTCTAGGCACAGGATGCTCTGTGGAGAAGTCCCATGGGCCCTGCAGGGACAGGCTGCAGGGACAGAAGTCCCCTAAGGTTTCTCAGAGACTCAGAGCCAGAGGTCTTTGATATTTCTAGTGCATGTTTAGGAGGGTGTTACAGACACTATCAGCACCCACCTGTATTCCTTGGCCCCTATCTTTCAATATGCTCCCTGAAAACTTGCAGCTGCCAGTACCTTTACCTCTGTGCCTGGAACTTCCCCTTCAGCCCCCAGCACAAAACCATTCTCCCTGGGAATATAGCTGGCCCGTATTGCTGGGCAGTGAACCAACACCTCTCCCCTCCCGAGATTCCCAGCAGCATTCAACCAGTGACTGATGGGAGCTGGTGTGCAAATGCCCCAGATCCCTGCCCTTGAGTGTGATAACTCTGAAGCACACTGTTTTCCAGGATTCGCCAGCAGGACTAACATCATCCCAATGATAATAAAGCAGTTTCCTGTCCCTTGTTTGTCTTCCCTACTCTCTTCCCCAAAAAACTACTTGCGTTTGAATCTTTGTCTCAGGATCTGCTTCTGGGACATCCAGACGACGAGAGCAAGAAAGAAGAATCTGCTAAGGAAGTTTCAACTGTGAAGGGGAGGTTTCCATGAGGCAGAGCAGGGGCCTCGGCTGACTTACAACATCAGCAGGATGGCTGGAATGATCAGGCCTGGATTGGCGATGAACGCAAAGATCTTGCCCAGGAAGGTTGGAAAATCATTTTCAACGGTCTCTTGGATGACGTCATACATTCTGTTTTTCCCACTGGGAAGAAGAGGACACATTACAGCATGCTGCAAAGCTCACACGGCACACGACTGTGTGCACGCCCCTCCCAAAGCTGCCGCTCACTACTGAGCCGGAAGAACCACAGGTCCGCCCCTAATGGACTGCAAATAAAAATGCCCCCCAAGGGGCTGCCCTTTTGTCTCAGGATTATAGCCAGGTCAGTGTGCTCACAACTTCTCAAACTACATTGGCCTCCTGCGTCTGACATCTTATGGGCTTTCGCCTATACTCTCATGGGAGAACATTGCCTATAATATAGCTATGGAACCAACACAGCTTCCCATGCATGGGAATAGTTCTCTAAAGGCTGACGTGATGGACGACCTCATGGTGCCTCTTGATTTTTTACTATCAGGCTCTTTACAGAAAAGCTGAGCTGATCCTGGTGTAGATAATACCTCTTACCTCATAGCATTGTGATGAGTGCCAGCTACCCCCAACTTGGGCAGGGCTCAGGCTTAACAAACTTGCTTATATGCCTTCCTATGGACTTGCACACTCCTCTAAGTACTTTACAAATAATAACACACTAAATCCTCAAAACAACCCTATGAGGTAGGCCCTATTGTTACTTCCATCTTATAGGCATGAACCTCTGGTATAGAGAGCTAAGAAACTTGCTCAAGATGACCCAGCTGGCAATTGACAGAGCTGGTTCTAGAATCTATGCTCTAAATCAGAGGGCTGGCCATTCTTTTCTGAAAAGAGATAGATAATAAAGATTTTAGGTTTTGTGATCCAGAAGGTCTCTGTTGGCATTACTCACTTCTGCTGTGGTATCGAGAAAGCAGCCGTAGATTATATGTAAGCAAACAGGTGTGGCCGTGTTCCAATAAAACTGTGTTTATAAAAGCAGGTTGGTGGTCTGGATTTGGTCCATGGGCTATAGTTTACCAACCCCTATTTTTAACTATATGCTGTGCAACGCTGCCCATTTCATTTATTTATATTGCTTGTCTGGATCTGATCTAAACCCCGAGTCCCTCCATGTAAAAGTGAATTTCTCTGAAGTGAAGGGTCTAGTTTAAGCATTGACTCAGTGTTCTTTTCTAGACAGTGGGTATAAAGCAGTGAAAAAGGAAGCAAAAATCACACCCTCATGGAGCTTATGTCCTGGTGGAGGAGACAGACAACAAACAAGATAAATAGGCAGAAGGAATGGCATGTAGATGTTAGTAAGGAGGTAGAATAAGCAGAAACAATGGTGTGTGTGTGTGTGTGTGGCATTTTCGTTAGGGTCTCCAGGGAAGGCCTCACTGACAAGGTGACCTTTGAATAAAGACCTGAAGCAAGTGAGAGGAAGCATTGAAAATATCTACGGAATGAATGTTCCAACCGTTGATGGGTTTTGATCAGAGGAGTGACAGGAAGGAGGTGGCAACCATGTTTCCTGCTGAGTTCCATTTACAGGTCCCTTCCCCCGCCACCTGGGTGGAGGCTGCCAGGGCCTCTCAGGGTAGCAGATGAAGCGGGGTGGGGCAGATGGTGAGCGCCTGGCCTGGCACAGGCCCATTCACTGGCCTCCTGCCTGGGGACAGGCGGGCAGCCTCAGCAAAGGGGCATTGGCATTTGCACCCAGAGCCCAGTCCTCCAAACCTTGCTCAGGACGGCTTCCACCACCTGTGCCATGTGGTTCTCCCTTCAGCCTGGCATTCAGGCCGTCTACTCTACATCTAGCCCCCCTTTGCTTCTGTCTGAACCTCTGATCAGCCAGATTATAGTCTGTGGTGAGCACTCCTGCTACTCTCTCCTTTGAGCTCCCATGACACTCACTGTGGGGCACTAACTGCAGGGCTGTATCTAGCTAAGTCCTTTATAAACTGAGCAGCATTTCCCTAAGTGTGTTGATCCACACTAGTAGGCAGCGCAGGGACTGGAGTGAGGCGGGTGAGGCTCTGGGGTGCACAATTTAAGGAGGTATTCACTCAGGCTCGTGCAAATGCAGGGTTGGCACCTCACCCTACTCCCGGCCCTGGATGGGTGTTACATGAAGAAAGGGTCTGTGGCCAATAAGGATAGAAACATTAGCCCTAACTGGTTTGGCTCAGTGGATAGAGCGTCGGTCTGTGGACTGAAGGGTCCCAGGTTCGATTCTGGTCAAGGGCATGTACCTTGGTTGCGGGCACATCCCCAGTAGGGGGCGTGCAGGAGGCAGCTGATCAATGTTTCTCTCTCATGGATGTTTCTAACTCTCTATCCCTCTCCCTTCCTCTCTGTAAAAAATCAATAATTAAAAAAAAAGGATAGAAACATTAGCGTGCACATCTTATCTTATTGCATGATTCCTCCAAGCCTTTAATAAAGGAACTGCATCGGGCATTTCTAAGTGAGAAGGTGGCAGATAAAAGAGTCAGCATGTTCCAAATGGCTTTAACCACAGACTCCTTTTAATGGAGTAGAGAGAGGGCTTTGTTTCCAGAAGGTCTCACATTTGGAAAGAGAGCAGTAGAGGCACAGATTTCTCAATGTACCTCCTTGTATAATTACTGATCTCTTTATTCAATGTCCAGTCTCCCAAACTAGTCTGACGTGTACCCTGAACCCACAGTGCTGGCAAATGCTCTGCAAAACATGGAGTCCCAGTCAAGAGTCTCAGTAGCTGCTTCACCCTTGAATGGCGCTTGTCAATACTGTATATGGTCATTTCATCTTCAGAATACCGCCTCCCCCACCCCCCACCCCCATCCCTGTTACGTTATTTATCCATATGTTAAAAGGTTAGAACTGTGCTGTCCAATATGGTAGCCATTAGCCATATGGGGTGATTATTAAAATTAATTCAAATGAAAGCAAATTAGAAAGTCAATGTCTTGGTCCTCATTTCAAGTGTTTAGCAGCCACGTGGCTGGTGGCTGCCCTATCGGATCGTGCAGACACAGGGCATTTCCATCCTGCAGAAAACTGCTGAGCAGCACTCATGATTTGCCCCAAGCTCCATGGCCTTCGCAGGCTGATGTGACACCAGAACTGGAATTCCGAGCCACTGCTCTCTGAGCAGACTGCCTGGGGGCGGGGGAGCTTCTCTTACGCAACCAAGGCTGTGCACCTGAATGGCCCGCAGTCAAAGGAGGGCGGGAGGGACATGATGGTGTAGGCCACTGGCAGGAGGCTGAGGAAGAGCACCAGCAGCAGGAGGCCCATGTAGAAGTTGTTGGATCGGGAGGCTTTGAACACGCGTTCGTGGGGCACGTTACTGCTCATCACTGCCCAGCACTGGAAATACATGGAGGTCAGCAGGCGCAGCACGTTGATGCCCACCAGTCCTGGAGCATAGAAGGAGCCCATCCTGGAGGGGCAGAAACACACACCAGGTTGGCCTGGCAGCAGGAGAGGCCAGGGAAGGGTGACAGAAGGAGATGGGATTGAGGGGTTAGGGGGAGGAGGCCTCGTCTTCTCTGCAGGTCCCAAGGGAAGGGGCCTCCCATTTAACCAGGACATTTATCACCACACCATAGCCATTCATTCCTCTGAAGGAGACACTCCGAGCATTATTGCCTCAGCACCAGGCATCTAACAAATTATACGGCCTCCTGTCCGTTTCTCCATGGTCTCCCTAAAATAACAGTACTGCTCAGAAAAGTATTTGAAAAGTTCTCAAATTAAGAGAATTGGACATTGACTTGCACTGAGCCGTTGGCATCTTGAAAGTCTTTGGCTGAAGTTATACAACCTCCTCTAACTCCCTCAGAGGAAGAATTTCCTTAGTTCATTTATCTCCCTCCTTCTCTTTTTCTTTCTTTCCTTTCTTTCCCTCCCCTCCCATCCCCTCCCCACTTTTTCCTTTCTGCCTTCTTCCCTCTCTCCTTCCCCTGTCCCTCTCTTGTTTCTGTTTTCCTTCTCTCTCCACCTCTTCTCTTCTTCCCTCACTATGCCCACCAGAGCACAGGGGTGGGCAGACACTGCTGGTTCTCACCTAGTCCCGCCCCCTGTTTTTCACGTGAAAGGAGGGAGCTCCTGCCTCTCCCAGCTAGTTCAGAGGCCAAGCCTGAGATTCCAGTTTTCTGACTCCCCAAGTGAGGTGATCCCCAGATGAACTGGGTAACTCACCAGATCATGCCTTGGTTGAAGATCAAACCAAGCACATTTCCACTAATATCAAACTCAGCATATGAAGGCTGCCGAGAGATAAAGGGTTGGGAGGTAGAGAGAGAAAGGAAACATGTTAGATGGTGTCAGCCAGACACTACTACCAGCCACTGGCCAAGCCGGGGCCTCTCCATCCCGAAGAGAGAGGAACTGTTGATTCAGGGTTCTGCTTCTTTAACATACAGGGTGTCCCCTCAATTAAAGAAATAGTTTGAAGTTCTCAAAGTTGAAACTTTTTTCAATGTCTTTTTTAAGAATAAAATGTGAGAGTTTTTACCATTTAGGGCCTGTGGGCTGACTGTGTACTCTTGAGAGGACCCTGGCCCCCACGAGAACATTTTACCAATGCTCTTATCAGAAATGCACCTTGAAATTATAATCAAGGAGTAATTCTAATAAATAATGAAAATGCAAATAATTAAATGAGGACTTTGAGAAGGAAGTTTAAAAAAGCAAAAAACAAACAAACAAACAAAATAAATCATCCCCCTAATTCTCTTTTCTCCTTCTCATCATTCTCTAGTCGTAGAGCATTCATGGAAAAGAAAAGGCTTAGCTAGATACATATTTTCAGCCTGACTCAGATTTTCAGAATTTGGGAGATTTGTGAAGTATTTGAAAGAATACAAATTTGTGAGCACTGGGGAGTCGGGGTCCTCATGAAACATGGTTAAACCTACTTCCCAATTTGCCTTCCAGGAGTGGAGATAACAGGTTACAGGAAGGAGAGAAGGAGGAATGAGAAGGTAAGAGAAAGAAAAAGGA